CCCCAAAACCCCAAAACCCCAAAACCCCAAAACCCCAAAACCCCAAAACCCCTATATATTCTCCTGATAACAACCAGTAATAAAATTATTAAAATATGTCTAACGCAAAGAGAGTATTCACATTTTGTACAAGACCCAAGGTCTTTCCCAAGAGGAAGTACCTAGATAGTGATATTACAGATGGCAGTCTCAGTACGGCTTATTCAGAATTTTCTTCAAGCCCTTCAAAGAGCTTTATGATGGAACCATTCGTTTCAAACCTTGCCTCAAGAGTAAGAATCTGACTGATGAACGAAGTCCTCCCAGCAAGCAGAAAGGTTGAATTGTTTCAAGATTTTTCGATCATAAGTACAGTCAATAATAACTCAAAGAGGTCATCAAGGTTCTCTGTGAAGAAAAGTGATTCCTTTAAGGCTAATCCAAGATCAATAAGTGAACCAAGAATTTCCTACTGAAGTAGTGAGCATAAAAATAGAGATGATAACCGCCCTCCAAAGTGCTCTTTCAAGATGAGGGTTCATGCCTTTAGCTATCTCCAAAAGCTTGCTTACAACATCAGAAGAGACGATGATGTACTTTTCGATGAAGAAGAACCTTATGAATATCTAAATGAAATTCAAGATTATCAGAATGAGTACAAACATGATCAGAGTTCAAAACTAAACGGGTGCGAATCAGTTCGAATGTGCAAAATTTCCTCATTCAAATCTCCATTTCCAAGTATTAAAAATGAAGAAAAACCAAGAAGGATGAGCTGCTTAGAGACAATAAAGCCTCGTTTCCAGCTGATAGAGGTATCTCAACAAGTTATTTCTGGACTAGACTCGATTCTCCAAGATTTAAGTCCACTTAAATCAAGTATCAAAAAGAGGTCTCAACTAAAGCAAGAGCCTCTCTCTAAAATTGCTGAAAAGAAAGCTTGTAATCAAGTCACCATTGGGGAGCCCTGCTTCACAAGCATTCCTACGGAGAGACTTCAACAAATAGTTGATTCCTTGTCCCAACTTTAACTTAACTTAATACATTAACTATAATTTGTAAAACTTAACCTGTGTCAAAAGAAAAATAAACGGATTCTTTGGCTTCACCAGCCATAAAGCCAATATTTTATGAAAAATATAGGATTTAGGGCTTATATACGTTCAAAAATTAACAGTCAGCTCTGTTCACTCTACTCTTAAAACTAATGCATTACTTCTCAAAATGGGTCAAAATAAATTAACTAAGATTCATGATCCAAAATTTTAATCATTTTAAATTCTTCTCAACTTCAAGAGAGCTGCTGTTTATAACAGCTTTACATGGGGTTGGGAGATTGGCATGGAGTACTTCAAAATCATTAGATTACTATATAGGGATATAAGAAACTGGTTATGAGCAATACTAGCATGCTAATGGCAGTTCAATAGTTCTTCAACCACGCCATCTCTCACCTTTCCCATAATTCTTTTTATAAATACGACAAATAACTGTGTCACTAGAATTTTTCAAAATGGGAAGATGGAAGACAACCTGCCAAAATTAATCGATGACGTGAAATAAAACAGTTTTTATTGATGAAAACTTTGCTGAATGTCTAGACTCATAAAACTAACAAACTCACCATTTTCCCTATAGAAAATCTTAGAATGAAACCTTGCAAATATCCGAGAATTATAAATTAGTGATTCATGTTCCTAATTCCATATAATGTTTCAGGATTCCAAATTTATACAATTTCTAGTCAGAAAGGAATAATATGGCAAATTGGTAAAAACTGGCTAAATTGGATATTAAGACTTCATTTCCAAGAGCCCAACCCAAAAATTGCCACTGGGATTAACGTCATCCAGAAAAATATCTATGAAGAGGCCTCGCAAGGCTTGCTCAGGTTAACTATTCATTTCTGAATCAGAATTATTCAGTGAAGTGATGTACCAGATTTGTAAAAACTCATCATGAACTAAAATAGGGAAGCCTCATTATAATACAACTGCTTCATATAAGAAACATCTCTATAATCCAAAACCTCTTGTTTTAGCTTAATGTAGCATATCTAACTCTAATCAAGGCTTGGTATCAAGTCTCTCTGAATTTCCTCATCCTCTGTACCCCACTACCAAGTCCAAATATTTCCTTTGTATTGTTCCTAATCTCTATAATTTCATCATTAAATTTAGGAATCAAACCATTTCCAATTTCACTAATCTTCCTTGGGGTTTTGGGGTTTTGGGGTTTTGGGGTTTTGGGGTTTTGGGG